TGACTTCAGTTTTGTGAAACTATAAATAAAAATATCTGCAAACAGCAGACGAGCTGAATGAGATGCAGATTCACTCTCTGCCAGCAGGTGGCGCTTAAAGCGTTTCCTTGGTTTCCGCTGTAAACAAAGCAGCGCTGCACTTATGAGCTTTAATATGCATTATACAGAGGCAAGAGGAAAAGAAAACATACCATCGAAACTTTTCTAAAGACAGTAAGTTCCCCTCAGACATACATTCATATAAACTCCTACCCCTAATTGAATCGCGATTTGTTTAGCATCTCAACCGATTTGAATCGTCACATATTTGAATCGATTTTCAACCGGTTAATCGTTACATCCCTATTAATGACTGATACCTTTCATTTTTATGTTTCAGTGCGCACTACCCAGAAACCATTTCTTATTAGTGTTATTTTTGATTATTTGACATTATTTGAGTATTAATTAGACTACAATAATAAAAACATTATATACATCATGAATAATAATAATACAAAATAATACAAAATAACAGCACTTTAGTGTCCAAATAGTTTTTCGGGTCACTGTCTCTAAAGCTTGACTGTTTTCTTCTTCAGGCCACGTCGCAGCTGTCTCCGAGGGGGGAGTGAGGGGCACTTCCTGTTGTTCAGAAACTCAACGGCTCCAGCGCGATTTAAAGGAGCAGACATGAACTTCCTGTCTTGAGGTCTGGAGGGAAGAAAATCCCATAGTATTGTACATGGTGATGTTTACAGAGCATGATATTGATTTGAGAAACATGGGTTGGCTTTATAATGGACGAAAACTGAGGGCCACAATTCCCTTTACAAAAATGTAATACTATAATATATAAAAATATATAAAATATAAATACTATAATAATCACCCGCCCAAAATTTTTAAAAAAAAAATTAAACCTAAATATATATATATATATATATATAAATAAATTTAAAAATAAATAAATAAAAAGTAGGATAACAGAAAATACATTTTGTGAACAGATATTGTGAAATATTATTCCAATTTAAAATAACTTTTCTATTATATAATTTTAAATGTAAATTATTTCTGTGATGCAAAGCTGAATGTTCAGCATCATTACTCCAGTCTTTACTGTTGATGAATAGAAATTTCAAAAGAACAGCATTTATTTGAAATAGAAATCTTTTGTAGCATCAATTTAGTTTGCTGAATAAAATACATTCAAATATTAAATAATAAAAACAGTAGGTTTTCATAGTAAACTTTGCATATTAAGGGTCACAGTCAAACTATTTATCACAGTGAAGATGCTTCACCTTCCTTGTGTGTGTTTGTCAAACTCAGGAGGGTGTGGATGTGGGTTTTGTGCACAGAGAGATCAAAACAATCCAAACAAAAGTGAAAGTGAATTTAGAATTGTGCATGGTGAATGATTTAATACAACAAACTCCTTGTAATAATCTTACTTGGCGAATACATTCCCAGTGAAATTGAAAGAAAATGTTTATTTTTTACAAATTATAGTGCAATCACCTGCTTTTATTTCCAGCTAATCTTTAGAGCAAGATCCTAAGCACTTAATCCTCAGGTCACTGTATATTAGTGGTTCCCTTTCAGTCGGTCACTCTCGACGTCACGTCGGATTTGGTCTCTCTAAGCGAGATCCCAATTCGTCGGTCTTCCGACGTGACGTCTCCGTTCCCTCCTTCAGGGAACGAGGGTTACATACGTAACCGAGACGTTTCCTTTACAACTCCGGTATTCACTGAACCTGAAAAACTCGATGTATTCTCTTGTTACTGTCAGAAGATAAGCAGCTATGCAAGGCGTTTCTGTCAAATAATTCACAACAAGAAAACCATCCATGAATATTTACGATCTTCCTCTTTTTGTATTTCTCCAGGAAGTTATTACTGTTTTGGGAAGTGCAAAGCTTGCGATGACAACCTGTTCTTTTAATATCGAGCCTCATGCCCACAAAGTCTGACCAGCCCATTATAGCAAACTCTGCGTGGAGAAGAACAGACTCTTCATCAATCAGACAGTCTCAGGGTCAAACCAATGTTATCTCAACCTGACTCGGCAGTAGATGCAAAAATCACCATCACAGGACGAGAAAAACAAGCATATCCAAACATCAGACTGTCATTTTATTATTGACACATCGAGCACCGCTGTCAGACGCATCCCAAAAGTAAAGGTATGTTTGTGAGGGTGCGGTTCTGCTGTTCAAACGCTCTTCTGCCTCTGCAGTGGCATGAATCCAAACGCTTCCAGCAGCATTGTGTCTGATCCAGACGTTAATGCAGAGCTCATGACGGCTGCCACTGTGATTATACCAGCATGACTTCCAACAAGCTCTATCTAAGTGACACCTGAAATAAATTACACTCGTCCCATATATTCTCAGCCTCCCGTTTTGCTTAAGGGCAAGAAGCGTCAATACACCTCCATTAGCAGCATGTCATGTCATCTGTTCATCAATCTTCCCTCTGACCCACAGCAAGCTGTCTGCAATTATCTAAACCGTTACAAACTAAAACAAAACAAAAAAAGCATGTGACAGGATTCAGAGGGCTCCAGTTGCATTTTGAAATATGACTGTGAACAAACCAGATTATTTCAATGGTTAAAAAAAATAAAAAAAATAATGTATATATATATATATATATATATATATATATATTAAAATGTTTGTTTTTTTTACTTTTAATATTCAAAATGTTAGGCTAGTTTGTTTATACAAATAATGTATTCTCTTTAACTTAATAAATAAATAATATAAGATATAAAACAAAACGTCTTAAGTTTGGTTCACTGAAAGTCAACAAGTCGTGTTCATGAATTATGAAATTCATAAATCAGATGTCAGTGATGACAATGAAGGGCATATTAAATTTTTTTTTACATAATCACAACCTTTCAGTGATTTATCACTAAGATCCACTGATAAGGATGAATACAGATGATTATATTTATTTTTATCATAACACCTGAGCGGAAATACATGAACAAAAGCAGCACAGAGATGCTCTATATGATGATGCAGTGTGAGGGGAAAAACAATCCATTTGATCTGATGCAACAGATTTCATAATGCCTGCAGATGTCCTATCAGATTATCCAGAACAGAGTTATGACACTCAGAAAACACATCTACTCATCCGTTGATCACTCACTTCAAAACATACACAGAAATGCACTGATCTGATCCCGATGCACAAGAGCCAACGTCTATATGAGCCTCCCTCAGCACATCCGTGATTTTACCCACTACAACCCGTCAAACTCATCCACTCTCCCTGCATACACTCAAATGTACGCGCATGACTTAACAAAGAACGGAAAATCTCTCTCTTACCTTTAGTTCACTTGAATTCCGTCTTTTTCCTGAGCGCTACTGCTGCATGTGGCTCCTGTCACTTCGAGCGTCTGAGACAATAGCGAAGAGCGCGCGGGAGGGAGGGGCTTGGGGAAGCGTTGAGGGCAAATCTAGCGTCAGTGAGCTCTAATTACGTCATATATTCCGCGACATTTGTTTGTGATAAAAGTCCCTGAGCGATCTTTTTATTTATTTATGGATGACAATTACAAACATTATTATACATATTAATGTTTTTAACCAGCAAACAACAACAACAATAATAATAATAATAGAGAAAGAGAAAGGAGATTGGTCAAATTCTTTTCTACATGTTAGGTAATAAAGTAAGATTTAATTCTGAATGTTTAAGTCCCTTATTCAAAAATAAACACAGTTTGTACAATTATTCTAGGGATTCTAAAAGTGCAATTTAATTTAGGCTTTCCACTATTTTTAGATCACTTCTTATTATTTTCATGAAAAAATCTTAAATTATTATTATTTTTATTTTTTTATTGCTTGAAAAGAACATACAAATACCAGGTAAACAACAGTAAGAACAATCTTAATACAATTACAATAAGTCCAAATAGCAGCACAACAAAGAGAAATATATAAACAAAATAAAAACAATTAGAATATTAAGAAAGAAAAATAAATAAATGCAGAAAAACTTTCCCAAAAAAAAAAAAAAACTATACAAGGGACTCAATCATCAAAAAATATATCAAAGGATTACATTGTTTTAATGGCTTTTTTTAAATGATACATGCGTTTTAAAGATTTAAAGAAGACTATTAAATCTTTTTTGAAAAGTAAGAACGTGTGCGTGTGTGTGTTTATGAATTTATGAATGAATGAATTCGCCAAAATCACAATATTATTAACTAAAAATTCACCATCAAAGTTCCGAGAAAAGACAAATATTTTTCAATTTTAAAATCAAAGTCAGGTATTACAAACTTCAAACTTAACCAAGCATAAAAGTCATCCCAGAATGTTTTAGACAATTTGCATACTCTATGTCTGCTTCACAAAAGGTGCGCTCATTACAAGCCAAATTAGATCTGTGTCTGAGGAACTCATTACAGGGATAAATATCGTTAATAATTTTAAACTGAATCCTAAATGATGATTTAAATGGTGTTTTTATTATGCACAACCTTACGGCGTGTGAGAGCGACTTTTATTATGTAAATATCTCCGATACGTCAAGCGTGACGCGTGATCAGCTGGGACTGTGAAGAAAAGCTTTGGCAAGTCAACTTATAAATGTTATTGGTAAACGTGAGAGGCGCTGCGTGATTTTTCCTCATACGATAAAACTGTGATGTGACCGAAGTAACGTTAACTGTAACTGCCCAGAACTGACGCCCGCCGTCAAAATCAATTTACAGCAGAACCTCCATCCACATGCATAACAATGGTGAGTTTTTGTTACATCTGGCTTTGAGCTTCTCACCAAACTCTGAAAATGATTGCTATGCGTAATATTGGAAAATAATAGTCATTGTAGCACGTGCGAATAATGTTAATCCCGCATTATTAACGTTAAATCATGTCAAAAATCTCTACTACAGTCGCCAAATGCATTAATGCAACATTAAACATAATTCATATGAAACAGGGTGGATTTAATATTGAAGTCCAGCTTATTTTAGACCCTTCTAGTGCACCGTTACTCTTTGTTAAAGATTTTTTTTTCTTAACCCTGTTAACCTACATGTGGTCACTGTCAAGGACTAGGAAGGACACCTTCTGTTAGTTGCTCTGATAATTTCATAGTTAATATTTAACATATCATCTAATTTGGGCACGCATGTTTATGCATATCTATTTGTTTGCTGTGTTGTGCACCAATATGCGTGATTTATTTTATTTACAATTGCAGGTTAACAAAGAGACCTCATCTTGAGCTACACACATTCAATAATATTTAATATTTTTCTTTTTAATATAAAGTGTAATCAGGCAAGCATGAACTCATTACGATGCCGCTAATATTAATTACATAACAACACAAAATGGACAGTAGTTCCCAATGTCACCTGCGGCGATATCAGAGCTGATGCGTCCAGACAGATATGACATCCTATCAAGTGATATAACTGAAGATGATGATGATGATGATGAGGATGTCACGAGCAGAGAGGAGATCAGACTCATACAGTTGTTTAAGTGGAGCCAGACACTGATTCTGGTTGCTCTGTTCATGGACACGGCGTCTAGTACAGGACCAGAATATGAATGCTGCTTTTCAGACAAGATGCATTTGAAATCAGACTATTAAGAAACTATAGAAATAGTTCTGTAAGCTTAGAATATAGAGATGAGATGCTTTGGATCTAGATCATATGTAATGCCATTTAAGCCCTGAAAATCTGATATGTGCTTGAAAGCTTCTCCGCTGATGGTTTGCTTCATAGGACTCTAATGGAGCAGCGTAAGATGAGATGAAGTCTGTGTGTTTTACGCAGTGAAATCCGAGCAAAGCCAGGTAAGCGAAAAACATTTTGCTTTTCGGGCAAATTTTCTTGCAATGAAAAATGTAGCGTGACACACTGGAAACAGCCAGAAAACCACCGCAGGAGTGTTTTTGCAGATGGACTAATTGTTATTCACTGTCTCCAGAATCGGATAAATGAACTCCAGTGAAGCATCAGCTCAGCCAAAAGCACCTCATGTCGTTTCTGGTGAGAGTCAAATCTTTGTTTGCGCAAAGCTCAATGCATTCTGTATTTCATGCTTTCTGTGTTTATTTCTGGGTATCAGAATGTGTTTGCATGAGGATTCTGGGTTTAGTGTTCAGTATAGTAGTAGCGCTTTAGGGATGTTTTTTATGGGCTGAAGATGTTCGCTGAACAATATCCATGGCCTGATTATTCTCTATTCCCTAGATATCAGCACATTTAATAATAAACGTCCTCATTAATATCACCGATCCTCCACCTCACCTCTTAATCCAGGAGGCTTGTGTCAGTGTCTCGCTCGTAAAGAAATGTTCTGGATTCAATAAAGGTTCTTTAAGAATGACTTGTTTGTAGAAACAAACAAAAGTTGGGTTGTTTATCTCGATAATACATAAATAAATGCTGTCAAAATGATTAACAGCTGTTAAAAACATTTTAATTTTGCATTGTTTGTAAGTAATTTCATAAAATAACATTAGGGTAAATTAGAGTAAGTGTGTCATCATGTGTCTTTTTAATGAATAGTTCACCCAAAAATGAAAATTTGCTGAAAATGTACTCACCCTCAGGCCATGCAAGATGTAGATGAGTTTGTTTCTTCATTGGGACAGGTTTGGAGAAATTTAGCGTTACATCACTTGCTCACCAATGGAGTGAATGGGTGCCGTCAGAATGAGAGTCCAAACAGCTGATAAAAACATCACAATAATCCACACCACTCCAGTCCAGTTAATGTCTTGTGAAGCAAAAATCTGCATGTTTGTAAGAAACAAATCCATCAAGGTGTTTTTTTAACTTCAGACCTGTTTCCAGCTAAAATACGAGCTCATAATCCATAATACTGCTTTCTCCAGTTAAAAAGTCATCTTGTATGAATCAGGAGAGACATATAAACAGATAAAGCACCATTTACAAGCTAAAACAGCTCTAAACAAATATGTGGGTGGATTTGAAATGAGAAGACAACGGGATGGACTTTTTCACTGGAGGAAGCATTATTATGGATTATTGACTCATATTTTGGCCAGAAGCGAAAGCTAAAACATCTTAATGATGGATTTGTTTCTTACAATATTATAAGATGTGGATTACTTGTGGATTATTGTGATGTTTTTACTCTCATTCTGACGGCACCCATTCACTGCAGAGTGATGGAATGCTACATTTCTCCAAATCTGATGAAGAAACAAACTCATCTACATCATGGACAGCCTGAGGGTGAGTACATTTTCAGCACATTTTAATTATTGGGTGAACTATTCCTTTAAAGTCATAAAGAAATGTTCCAGATTCAGGAAAGGTTCTATAAGCATAACTTGTTCCTCATTTTGTAAAAACAAACAAAAATAGTTTCATGTTTTGCATTGAATACGGAACATTCCTGAGACCTCGGCTTAATCAAACATGGCAAGGTTGACTCTGCACTGCAGCGTTTCCATAATCATCTCCTCCTTTTGCCGTGTCTTTGCCCTTCAGCTCACCCTTGCTCAATTCATGCATATTCATACTGTGGATATAGTCGTATTCATCTCCATATTCATTTGCGGGGTGGGGGGCGTGTCTCATGTCTCCTCCCCTCTTCCCCTCAGGACTGCACCTGTATCTCCTCCCACTCACAAGTCCAGTCCATCAGCATAGAGGAGCAGTATGAAGACATCAGCCATCAGTGCTCGGTCAGTAGAGTCTAATAATAGATCGTGGCTTCAGTGTGTTTGAAGGCATCAGGCAAGGATGCCCACGTCACCTTAAATCACAGACTCTGATTTAAAATGAATGACTTCCGTTTGCTTTGTCACTGCAAATAGTTGTCAGTGTGAAAAGCCCTGTAGGATATGAGAGAGCACAGTCATGCCAGAGAAACATCGTTGCATATTCACAAACTCCAGTGAGCTTCAGATTGCTGTTTTCCTGAAGTGTGATCTGAGATTTGAGTGGATCCATTGTGTTGGGCATCACAAAGCAGTGTTTCTGTTCCATGGTTCTGGATGAAAGCTCACTTGTGCTGTTGTCCCGTGTCTTTGGCTGAAGGAGATATCTGTGGGTTGTCTTTAGGTATTCCCACCCTGTGGCAGAAATATTTGGCGTTTGACTGCAGCAATCTGGGTCACTTTCCCATTCATGGTCTAAAGAGGCTTTTCAGAAAATTATTCAATAAACAGTTATAAGCTTAAGAAGTTCAAGTCTAAAATGTTATAGTGTTGACGTGTTTATAGAAGCTAACCGAATAATAACAAATCTGGTTTAATGGCACAGAGATCAGAATATAACTCTATCACCCCCTACAGTTCAGAGTTATGTAATGCATGCATTTGATGCACTGATGAATCGCAGCATTCGAATATTACAGCATTATTCAAAGCAAAAAAACCTGGAGGTTTAAGACTTGTACTTAT